CACTTTCTATTGTAGTTTCTTCCATCAAAACTGCATTTGCTGTGGTTGATGGAAAAAACTTCGTGGTAGTGAATGTATCGTCATAATTATCGTTTCACCAATCGTTATCAGACATTTGTTTGCGAGTTTTGATTAGGTACGAATGAAGTCGTGTCCCATTCCCTTGAATAGTTATAAGCAAACTCGTCATCGAGTTTGTCTCCCATTCGAATAAAGTACCAATGACCAACATGAAATCCAATATCGTATCTCGGATCAAATTTGACTCTAGCTAAAATTATATAGAAAATGTTAAAATCAATATAGCGAAAGTAAACTCTGCAATATCCCTTGGAAAGAAAAGTCTCTGTCACGACTCACGTAAATCTACGAAGAATCTACCATAGTCACGAACACGATCTTGTATCTCAGCATTACTGGGATTCATTATTTCTTTGTTTTCTGGACCATAACTACTAAACTTTCTTCCTAACCAATTTACGTTTTGTTTTATAAGATTTTTATTAAACTTTATAAACTTATATGGATTATTTACAGCTAAAGACCGTACATACGGTGTATAGTAAATAGCTTCCTTTAAGTATAGCTGTTTTATAGAAAATTAGAGTAGCCGTCGTATAAATTTGGTCACGCGTCAAATCTAACTCTTCTTTCGTATGCCCCCAAAAAAAGAAATGTACAAAAATCGTTGGTTTCTTCTTACATGCACACCAGAGAGATTACCGATACAAAGCCTAATCTGGTAAGATTTTACAATAAAACTAAAGGCGGTACGGACACTTTTGACAGATTATGTCATTCTTACACGGTGAGCGGTCGAAGCGACCGATGGCTTCAACGAATCTTTTGTGGCATCTAGATGAGCGTGAGAGGAGATGTGAACTATGCGGCGTAGAGGCTGGAAGCACCTGAGGGCACCTGATGGAAGGCTGCACGAAGCTAGAGAGAACAGACCTGAAGGAAAAAGAAATTTTAGAGAGGAAAAAGAACAAAAGAGTGGAGGGATGGTTGAGAAATGTGAAGAAACAGAGGAGGATTTGCAGAAAACATAGTTGTTATTTGAGAATATCCTAAGTAAAATAAACCTTCAAGTTAATGAGATTTGATTTGCATAACAACAATGTAAAATCTAGCATTAAATTATATTGATATTTATAAATAGAAACAAATAACTGAACACAATAAAATTTTATAATATATTTACTATATTTTGAATATTATTCTTTTAAAAATCTTTAGAAGTTGCAGACGCTAAAAATATTAAGAAAGCTATTATTTTTTTGTAGCAGCTTATTTACATATAAGCCGAATTTGAACTCCAGATGTCAATCATTTTGTTTTTAAAATTGTATGTATATATAATTTTCCTTTTTTATATATTTTTATCTTCTTTTCGTTTGTCATACTTTATTTCTTTCTAATTAAAATAAAAGAATAATTAATAATAAAAATATTTCTATTTACTTTTAAGATGCACGCGCCAACTTCCAACTTTATTAGTTCATTATTCTTACACACATGTCGCTGCAGTATGAAATTCTTTTTAGGTTGGAACACTGTTATGTTCTTTCTTATATTCCTTCGGAAGAATATTATTATACAAAAATGGTATGTATTTAATATCCATA